CTCTCTTCTGGAGGAAGAGTGAATAGACTTGAAGGACAGGTGATGTCTCTGAAATATGCAAATGGAGCTGAGCTGGTCCAAGCAATTACCTTTCCACTGCCTGGAACTTCAGACTGAAAGGAATGACTCACAAGAAAGAACAAGAAACAAAAGATGTGCTAAAAGATAGAAGATGACGAAGGAAGACTGCATCAAGAAGAGAATGGAGACAAGCGTGGAAGAGTACAGTCCTGACCTCCTACCAGCAGCTGTTCTTGGGAAAAGGAACAAAACAACCTACAACACAAAACACAGTAAGACCCATGCCAACATAGAAAGACGTAACTGCAAAGCATCCAGAAAGGCAATTGTGATTGTTGGTTCTAGACTTCCGGGTTCAAGATAAATACAGCAAGGAGCTTCCTGCAGCTTCATGAACGTAAAAGACAATGGATCTCACCTCAATATCCTCTAGGTTATCTGCTATTTTAAAGATTTCCTAGCAAACAAAATTGCTGAAAATAAATGCAGCATGATCATTTCTTTCTAGGTTTTAGACAAAGCTCTGAAAGAAAAGATAGGCATGACTACCAGACAATCTGCTAGCAGCAAGGGTCACGAAGCACTAAAACCCAGTGGAAATAGCCATGGAGATGAGCCAACAGATGTGCCTCTACTGTCAGAAGTGGCATACTAGTTGAAGATGTCCCTGCCCATGGCAGGGGGGTTGGACTAGATGACCTTTAGAGGTCCCTTCCAGCCCAAGCTATTCTATGATTCTATACCAGCTTCACCGAGCAGAGAACAGCTGTGCCACTGCCTCTCCATGTTCAGTTGTCTCCTAATAAAGTGTAGGTACTCCATGCAGGAGTAGGAAGCAGCAGATTTTGGCTGCTACTGGCATTCTCATTGCTTCTGAACAGAAATTCAGGATGTTCCTACTGCATCAGAATGCTTTTACTTGGGTTTTTCCCCATCCAAAACAAGCAAAGATTACTAAATGATAGCAGTTATAGTCTGATGCTGAAAATGTATTAATTCATATTGACCTTGCAGCTTCTGTAAGAATGAATCAATGAATGTGCTGGTTTTGGCTGGGATAGAGTTAATTTTTTTCATAGTAGTTAGCATGGGGCTATGTTTTGGGTTTGTGCTGGAAACAGTGTTGATAACACTGGGATGTTTTAGTTATTGCTGAGCAGCGCTTACACAGAGTTGAGGCCTTTTCTGCATCTCACCCCACCCCACCAGTGAGTAGGCTGGGAGTGCACAAGAATTTGGGAGGGGACACGGCTAGGACAGCTGACCCCAACTGACCAAAGGGATATTCCATACCATATGACATCATGCTCAGCATATAAAGCTGGGGGAAGAAGGAAGGGGAGGACATTCGGAGCGATGGTGTCTGTCTTCCCAAGTAACCGTTACACGTGATGGAGCCCTGCTTTCCTGGAGACGGCTGAACACCTGCCTGCCCATGGGAAGCAGTGAATGAATTCCTTGTTTTGCTTTGCTTGCGTGCATGGCTTTTGCTTTACCTGTTAAACTGTCTTTATCTCTTTTTTTCTGGGTGGTGCTTGGTTGCTGGCTAGGGTTAAACCACGACAATGAAGAATCATAGAATAGTTTGGGTTGGAAGGGACCTCTAAAGGTCATCTAGTCCAACTGCCCTGCCGTGGGCAGGGACATCTTCAACTAGATCAGGTTGCTCAGAGCCCCGTCCAACCTGACCTGGAATGTTGCCAGGGATGGGGCATCCACCACCTCTCTGGGCAACCTCTTCCAGTGTTTCACCACCCTCAGTGTAAAAAAATGTCTTCCTTATATCTAGTCTAAATCTACCCCCCTTTAGTTTAAAGCCATTCCCCCTTGTCCTGTCACAACAGGCCCTGCTAAAAAGTTTGCCGCCATCTTTTTTATAAGCCCCCTTGAAGTACTGATAGGCTGCAATAAGGTCTCCCCGAAGCCTTCTCTTCTCCAGACTGAACCACCCCAACTCTCTCAGCCTTTCTTCGTAGGAGAGGTGTTCCATCCCCCTGATCATTTTCATGGCCCTCTTCTGGACCTGCTCCAACAGGTCCGTGTCCTTCTTATGCTGGGGGCTCCAGAGCTGGACACAGTACTCCAGGTGGGGTCTCAAGAAGAAGAGAATCAAGAAGGAATGAAGAAGTGGATCTACTTGGACTGCATAAGAAATACTGCATTTAGTTCCATTCTATTTATAAAGAAAAATACTGACAGCATGAAAGCCGCAGAACAGCAGCAAACCTGCTGGGAAAAAATGAACATATGAAAAAGATAAGGCGTTTCCAAGTTTTAAATTTTTCATATTTCGTACTAAAGGATCAAGACCTTAAAACCCTTTGCAAATATATGAAACAGGAGACTGAGGAGGATTTAAGATAACACACAAGAACAACTTTAAGGGATGAGATGAACTGTTGAAGAGAAAATATGTAGGTAATATTGAGAAAGCTTTACAACAGCAAAATTCATGAAGTTGCACAATGTGAAATTCAACACCCTTGTACTGTAATTACTATTCATGATTCATAATGATCTGAAAGCCGAACTTTTCAAATTTGTACCAAGCACTTTATACTGCTTTTAACCAAATATTAGGAGTATTTCATTCATGATCTACTGAACGTAAGAAAAATTCAAAGGAACCCAGCAAATAAGCATGTAAAGGAGATACAATGACAGTGATGAAGCACCTTGTAATGTACCCACAGATTTTTTTTTTTTTATAAATCCAATTTGAAATTTGAAGACTAAAGTAACTATTTTATCTCCATCATTTTAAAGAACAGAGCTCCCTCTCGTGGCTCCAGAAGGTGGATTTGGGGGGAGGGGGGAAAAGAGTACAGAGCAGCATGAGATAGATCAGAGTGAAAGGACTCCTGATAGTGGAATTAAAAGGAAGATGCAGTAGGAAGGACAGGTGACTTCTTTTAAAGAAAGCAACATCACCTGTACTTTAATGCTAACTTTTAAGTTACATTCTCTGCTAACGTAACTTCCTCTGCTAGGCCTTTCTGCACCTGAGCATATTCCTTCAATGTAAAGCGCTCAGATTTCTTAACAGGTTTCTAGCTCAGTCATAGGCAAGGCACAGGAAAGGAAAGAGTCAGGACAAGAAGTGTGGCACCTGTGCAGCGGTGTGGGGACAGTAAGCCAGATAACGCCCTACAGATTTTCCTCAGCATTATAGCTCCGTGCACTGGGACCACACACAGGAAAAAAATGATTGGCTTCAAAAAGTCAAGAAATACATGCATAGTTACATGAGTGAGAGAAGCACAGCTATTTAAACACTGAAACAAAAGCATCTGAAGAAAGAAAATCACATTTCTTTAAACCACTCTGACAACTCAGCCCTGCCATCTTCACAGAAAATTCTGTTCAAGCTCCAGCATTGCTCTCCTCCTGCAAGCCCACACTTCTTGCATCAACTATTCAAAAAGGGAGGACGGAGCAATGCATGAATGAGCAAACACGCTGGTGCAACAGCATTACCCAGCACAGTCTAGCTTCTGCTGAGTCCTGGGGACAGGCTTATGCAAGGACAGCAATGGGAAGAAACATGCTCACACACATTCATTCCTTACCTTAGGGGAATAGGGGAGGAGCAGAGCTGCAAACCATTCTTTCTTTGCTATATGGCTTCTTAAAAATATTTTTTTAAAAAACCTAACAGATTATTCCACTTTCCTAGCTGGCAGCTTTGTAACCTGAAGGTCACACCTGTGACTAAGTATTTCTCTGAGGCAAGAAAGTGAAGGCAGTACCCAAAGCTAAGCTTGTAACCATGGATGAGAAGACTTTTCATGAACAGAAGCTCTACCCATAAAAATTCAGGAAAGTGTTGGGTGTTTTGGTGTCCGTCCATCCCCCGCATTGTTTAATGACTATTCATATGTTTCACTTTACACTGCTAGACACTTTCTTCATTCAGGATCATACATGGATTCTTTTTAAATTATTTTATTTCTGTATGAGAATTTTAGATTAGACAAGAATTTACACAGCTAGCTTTTTGCTAACTGCACTGCACAGCATATAAAACTATTTTCCCCAAGAGCATTAAAAAGTGTTTCCTCTAAATGACAATATTTCTTTGCTGCAAAAACAGGATCAACGCCATGAAACATGAACTAGTGAAGAAAAAATTATTACTCTTAAGTCTCCAGAACAGCATCAGAAGACAACTGAGAATCAAATTCTTGATTCATAGGCTTGTACTCACACAAGATTTTGCTTCCAAAGCGCAGGACCAAAAAAGAATCAATTTCCTACCATGAAAAGAAATTACCATGCCTTCAGCATTTTGCTATTAGTGAAATATCTCCACTCTATCTCCAATCAAAGGCAATACTTTTTCTAAAGAGCAATCCTCTTTTAAAAATGTATAAAAATCAGTCTATAAACAGGGATATATCCTTAAATATTCAATCAAGTAATACACCTGGTAGATGAAAGACAGATTAATTAGAATGACAGTACAGTCTCCCTATAACCCACACATACAGGACTTACAAATACACTTGTTATGTTGGAGTACCTAATCATAATCAGATTTGGTAATTTGCTTCATCGAAACAAAAAGGAAACATTTTTAGAATTGATCATTCAGTTCATGTCACTTTCATGGAGATTACTTTGTATTGATCAACATTTAAATAGTAGTTGAAAAGAAAAAGATGAGAAAAGGACAAAAAGTATCTTTACATGCTAAATACAGCATGAACCAATAAAAGCAAAATAAATTAGATCACTATAGCCAAACCAACCCTGTGCATGCGCTCACTGTAATGAAGATAATTATGAATGAAAGAGATGGTTCTTCATGTTTCAGTCATAACAAAAGGATAGTTTTAAAAGTGAATTTATGCCGTAATCTGCTCAAAAATGAAGTTTGCCATGCTACAATTAAAATCTGTGTGAAGCTGAACCATTGTTAGCTTTACAAAGACACAAATGCTGGTTTGTTTGCTGAACAATATTTTCATGTTTCCTACCTGTGGATTCCAACTGGGGTCCAGTTTTTTCACTGTAGCAACATACTCCTGCATAGCTTGATGAGGGCTGGTGTCTCCCAGGGCTTTCCAAGCCTCCCTAGGAGAGAGAGCAAAACATCAGCGAGCCACTCGGAGACAGCACAATGTGTTTTTGTAGTGTCATCGGTGGAACACAGTGAATGGATTCATCTAAGCACTTTCAGGGTGTGCAAAGCCATCTTGCATTCAGTTTGAAATGGTCAACTTTTCTCTGAAGCCATGAATGGCCACTGTCAGCACAGCACTCCGCTGTGAAAGGATCTTTCAGGGGGTCCTGATCCGGGCTGGAACATCACTTTGTGTTCACAAAGTAAAGCTGTTTGTAAAGCCGTTGCTATTTTCACAAAATTTTTGTTGTATGCAGGCTAATTCTGGATGAACAAGGTAAATACAGGAGTCTGGTATTTCATGCCTGCATCAGGCATAGCAGCAAACATTTCCCTATTAAACAAAGGATTTTAAAGCCAGTTCAGTGGCAGACTCTCAGAGTTGACATCCTCTCGGTCCATAATCTGTCAGCAGATGAGACAAGATGAAACAAGAAGTAGAGCCAGAAATTGCTAAAAATTACAAGGATTTCCTCTTACCATTTCTGCTTTCCCTCAAAATCAAAGAAGCTTGGCTTGGGAGTGTTACAGGTTCCAAATTTCACCTAAAGAAAAGAAATTTCCTTCTGTTAGAACAAAGCAAAGGGAAGGGGACTCACATAAGGAAATACTGTGTTCTGATGGTTTCAAGGTAATTTTATTCTTGTGCCAGAGGAAAGGTTTTTGAGGGAAAGAACTGACACAACTCAACCCCATCTTCCCCTCATTTTAGCGCTCTCACAGTTATTAACACCTCTGCATCCCTGTGTTTTCTTTGCGTGATGCAAGAGAAGCAATTTTGTTATGCAGCTCATTTTTTTTGCATGCATTGCCCAACAGGGATAACCAGCAAGTGATTTCTCACTTAATGTTATGTTTAGTACCCAGCCAAATGTCTCATCCTCCACCAGTATCAAGAAAAATTCTGATGATTAGGGTTTCCACAGAGATGATTATTCACTAAGGCTGAAATTCACCTGCTTACGCACAAAGCTCAAGTAAACAGACTTTGCTTAATTATTTTTGAGGTCCTCTGGAAGGCAAGGGGACAAACTCAGAGCAAAAGAATGCCAAGCAGCTTCTGAATTTGCTCCAAGGCATCTGGCTGCATAGGAAGCACTTCGTGAGAGACAAGTCAAGGCCTGAGCAGAAATGCCAGAGATGAACCAGTCTGTCAGAAGCAAGTCAGAAATTAAAATGTGGGGTGAGAAATAAGAAACAACACAAGGAAGCAAAGGAACAAGCCAGAATTGGTGGATGGATATATGGAGGGGGAAAAAAAAAAAAGTCTTATAGCCAGTGTAAAATGGACTTGGTGCCAGTGGGATTCAGGCAGTTTTCCATAGGGTGGTGTACTGATGGGACAAACACAAAGCCCTTCCTCTCACTGCAGGGAAGTCTAGCAGCCGTATCTCCACAAAGGGGAACACAAGAGGACTGACAGAGGCTACGCCTGCCCAGGGCTCCAAAGGCACAACCACATTCCTGTGATGAGGCCAGCACTGACAATTGCCTCAAGAACGGAGCAATTAGCAGGTTGAGATTTAGGTAACATAGGTATTTTGTTGAAGTCGGCTCAGGAGAACGTATAAGTGAATGTGCCTGTCCCTGCCTGGAAGAGCCAGGGAATATGGGTCAGGACCTACCAGATCTGGCTGTAATCAGTGCCCCTTTCTCGTAGAAAATAAAGCCCTTTGCACACCGGCGTCACTGGTAAAATGAATCTAACTGAAATGAAAATATCATTGTGATAGGGAATGAATTTACACAAAACATGGATTTTCTTTTTTTTTACTTTTTTAATGAAAGTGCTATATATCCCACAGGGATGATGAAAGACTGTAGGAGCCAGAGTCCAGAGCAGAACCGCAGCTCCAAATGCAACAGCCCCTGGGAAGCATTTATCACAGCAAGTCCCCGAAACACAGGGCAGAGCCCAGTGCATAGGAAGCCCAGCACGGATGGGGTATTTAAGCAGACCCCACGGAGGGAACACAGATATGTTCTGCAGGTGGTCAAAGGCTGCTGGTTGAACATTTTGTTAGCCAAGCAAAACTAAACTGCATTCAAATGTTTTATGAAATATGCTCAAGTGTTCAAGCAGGTGAAGTGCTTAAATCAACTAACAATTCTTCACCTTAACAGGGTGGGGATTTTATGCTGAGGATGGAATCATTAATCAGGCTTTAAAGAGAGCATGCCCATGCTGAGAGATATTTATTAGTCACACTGTGTTTTCATTTAAAGTGTTAGAGGATATGAGTGACCGTAACTGAAATTAGTTTTCTGTACATCTGACTGTCTCCCAGTGAGCAATTCATTCAAATTAGAACATCTTGGCTGGCCTTTAAAACAACATATCACATTTCATGGAGAAATAGGAGAAAGGGCTAGCAACAGTTAAGTCCTATAAATCAGTCACGATTCATGTTGTACTATAAATGTTTTCTCCTGTGCTCAGAGGTAGACTGGACCACTTGTTTTAAAAAACAAAACAAACATGGAAATAAAATGCAAATTCATTATCTGTACGGAAAATGCCTGCTTGGCAATTCTTTAGTTCAACATCTAACCTGCAAAAACTGGCCAAGTTGGATAAAAAATCTCATCTGTTTTAATATTAATTTTCCACTACCATCATCAAAACACAACAGCAGTCTCCTCTCTTTAGATTTGGCATTCAAAGGCTGTTCCAGCATCAGGAAAGACTGTTAGTAACATCAATAGTAACACAAATCAAGGAACAGTAGTTAAATTTCATCCATTAAGAGGGGAAAAAAATGTACTTGTGCCCTGTTTGCTATTTTAAGATATATTAAAAAGGCTTGCAATGGGTTTGTTGGAAAGAAGAAAATAAAGGTTTTGGCTTCCCTCTTTTTGCTGCAAGACTCCATAATGCATCAGAAACCAACCAGGAATCTAACATTAGAGGGGACCCAAGCCTGAGAGCTGAGGAAGGGGAGTTTTAGCTAAATATGCCAGTGCACATTCATGGCAAATACTGGGGGAGGAATTTTGTGAAGGATTCTGCCCTCCTGCTACTTCCCTGGAGGGCCTCAAAAGCTGTTTTTCTCTATAACCAGCAGAAAGACAAGAGCCCATATTAGTATTTCAGGTCAGAGTTTCTCATTCTGTGTCCACAAAATAATTACTGGTGGTCTCCAGGGGACTGACTGGTCACTTGATGCTTAGCTCTCCTCATTTACAGTTCATCAGCTGCATTAAAAAAGAAGACAGTCAGAATGCATTAAATACTTTCCTAGTGTTGCTTCTGCATGCAGAGTCGCCTGCAGACATTATACTCATGAATCGCACAAAGATGCCCCAGGCAGCTCCAAATGGGAAGTGTCTGCAGACGTCTCCATTTGTGGCCAAAATGGAAATTTAGAAACCTTGGATGAAGCCTTCACCTGAGAGCTGAAGGTCACAAGATTCAAAGAGTGCTTGGACAGACAGATGCTCAGAGACCTGTTAGCACTGCATACCATCCCCCTACGACTTCGGCTGCTGGTCCAGACTCTGAAAAACCTTGAGATTCTCCTCACACATTACTCCACAACTGATCTACCCCCTGCCCCCGATGGTGGTGGTGCTAAAATGGCTCTTTGCTAATTTTTCAAACTAATACATTTATACAGCAGGAAGTTCCAGCCAAATATTCTTACCTGATTGTAAATCTTGTAAGGTGAATCAGATTTGCAGCCTCCCTATGGAGTAGTAACAAGAACAGAACTCACCTCCATGAACAGCGGGACTAAGCTCTAACAGTGCACAGGCCAAGCAATCCAAATTTCTTTGGCAAGACAGGAATTCCTGCCTGTTCCTGCCCAAAGCTCTGCCCCATTAACCTGCTCCAACCCGTGGGAAAGCCCTGTACTCAACTGACTGAAAGTGGGTTGTAAGGAAAAACAAGCAAACATCAACCACAGGAGGCAAGGGGTCCTAGCCCTGATGACCAAGGGGCTGTATGTCCCCGAGAGACAGAGAGCATGACACTGGTAACACCGAGTCAGTGCCATCACACCACTCCGTGCAACAGGAAGCTGCAGGCAGAAACTCTCGTGTTCAGGGCAGATTTGTGGCATCATGTTCTACAGTATTTGAAAGATGTCATGCAAAAATGGGATTATATTCTTGAGCCTACACTCAGAGACAGCGTAAGCCCCATTTTGCCAACGGCACTGGATTTCCAGCTTGCCTGCACCTCTCAGCATTTCCTTAGGCACTGGCACATCCTCCTGGCAGGGCAGGTTTTTTTCAGTCCAATCATTTCCAGCAAGTTCTGAATTCCCTCCCCTCTCTGAATGATGGCCACTACACTGGTCTCCATTACTACAGCTTCTGAATCCTCTCAGCTTTTTGCATCCTCAACACGACAGGCAAGCGCTATCTTCACTTCACCACTACAGACTCAAGGCACAGACAAGTGATTTGCCCAAAGCCACACAGAAAGTAGGGGGAGAAACAGAAAAATCAGTCCCAGTCCAGAGCCCTACTGACTAGTCTGCCCCAGAACAGGAGGAAGAACAGAGTCATAAACTCAGCAACATCTTCTAAAAACCTCACTGGAGATGACAACTAAGCAATTCCGTTATTTTCAAGTCTCTGACACATAAACAAAATCAGAGAGAAAAGTAATAAAAACCTGAAATGGCCTCCAATAAAAGGTAATAAAATTCCAGGAAAAAGCCTATATACCCAAACAGTTTGAAATAAATAATATACAGTATTTTAACAGAGAGCTCAGCTGTTACTGTCACCTCTTTTATGATGGTGCTGTACCTTAAATCAAAGCCCTTAGTGACATAAAACACTAAACTGAAGAAAGACAAGGATGCCAAATCAAGGACAGTGGACAGATCTGAGTCAGCACCTTTTGTGTGCTAGCAATACTACCGTCCACCGGAGTAATATATTAGCAGCCCATTATGCATACTGATATGGCTGCTATAATTAAATAGAGAAAACTTGCATTAAGCGCCCTCGTTTTGATTTAAAGCACAAAATACTGCAAAACTCAAAGTTAGCAGAGCATAAACCTGCAGTAGCTGTTGGATAGAAGTAGCTAGCAAACTTCTCCCATCTCCACTGCCAGCGCTGCTCTCCCAGGCACTCTGTAACAGGGATGGCACCTTTCTGGACAGCACTGGGCAGCTGAAGGCACGGAAACCCAGGAGCTAAGCACAGCCAGACACCAAAGAGCACAAAGGCACTTGCTGTTGCATCCTGCTTGGCCAGGGACAAGAGGGACAGCAGAGAAGAGGACAGAAGTGCCCTGTTCCCCTCAGCAGAAGGAAACTGGAAATCTGTGCTGACACAGTGTTAATTATCACCTTTTTCTGACTTCTATCAAAACTGTTGTGAAATAGCTTCTGATTTTAGTAATTTTTAACATTAAACACCTTATTGGTCTTACAGAGTCAACACCAGGAAACCCTCTGGAGTCTGTTGACAATCACGAGCTGATATGCACGTAATGCCTTCCCATTTCCACCAAGGACAGTTCCAAAGAATTTGAAACAGCAAAAAACAAGAGGTTATTTGCAACAAATCTCCTGAGATTACAGAGAAAATATTACAGAAGAGAAAAAAAACACCCTTTCATTTCATCTCATCCTAGGCATGGTCTTGTTATTCTTAGAAGTTCTCGTAGTATTTTTTTCCTACTCTCCCTTTTCTTTTTTCTACTCTCCCTTTTCTTAAAAAGTGAAAGAGATACCTGGAGACCTGTTTAAGCACTAGAAAAATCTGAAAACAAAACCTCATGTGACCAGTCTGCTTTTAATACAATTAATGGTCCACAAACCGCAGCCTAGGAGCCACCAGCTTAGAGGATAATTAAATATTGCATTAAAAAAATTAAAGCACTTAGAAGTGACAGTAGTAGGACAAGGGTTACTCCATATGGGAGGAAAATTATGGGGAAGATGTGCACACCCAACTTCGACTAGTAATCCAAACAGCTGGGATTCAGTTTGCAAGTCAAGGAAGCATCTCTTGCCACACACCTGAGTGACATTTGTACTTTTACTCTTTAGTCTTCCAGGTGTAACAATACTTACAATTTTTCTGGTTTTCCAGGTTAGGTGATTATTACAGTCCATCATATCTTAACTAGTGCTTTTTTGTTTGTTTTACATAAGTTCTCCCACAGGAGCAGGAAAAAGTCACGTTTTGCATTCCCATAGGATGCATCCTATAGCTTGCTCAGTTCACAGGGACTAAGTGGGAGAAGGAGTCATGTTCAACATTGTAACTAGAACCAACGAGTTTAGTTTCCCAGTCCACCCTAAAGCCCTCCACAGACAGATCTGCACAGGCACGTCCTTCATGTGGTCACATCAAAACCCCAAAGATTTAATGCTCACACCTGGGTCATTACTGCAGATCCCCGATGTCTCTAACAGGGAGGTGAGCACCAGCACCAGCCGTGCAACTACAAACCATTCAATCACCTTCGCTAACCTGTCCCAGTCGCCTCATCACCCAGCATACACAGGGAGCCCGGCCAGCGCAGGCGAGGCAGCGGTATTTACCAGTCAAGTTACTCCACAAACACTCGGTGGACAGGCCACCAACCCACCGGTGACCTGCCACAGCCAACGACAAAGGCCAAACCCTCCACACCAACACCTGACTTCAATCCACCGCACAGTCCGCTGAAGCCAAACAGATGCCTCCGCAGCAGAGGCGAGCGGCGCGGGTTAGGGCTACCCACACTGAGTGAGGGGGAGAGGTGAGGAACGACGGCTAACGTCATGAGTTCAGCGGGACTCTGTCCTACCAGACTTCGTCTACCTTCACCACAGGCGACGCCAGCGGCACCGAACTTTGCGCTGGACACAAAGCCCCCCGCACCCCTGTTTCCCACACCCCCGACACAACTTTTTCCACTTGGCATCATCACATT